GCCTCCATATTCTGGCTCAAGAAGAGGGGTCTGATGCCTGGCCTCACGTTCAGCAATGAGCTGATCAGTCGCGATGAGGGCCTCCACTGCGACTTCGCGTGCCTACTGTTCCGCCATATCATCAATAAGCCATACGAGGAACGGGTGCTTCAGATCATACGTGAGGCGGTGGCCATCGAACAGGAGTTCCTGACGGACGCCCTTCCCGTCAATCTGATTGGCATGAACTGTGATCTCATGAAACAGTACATCGAGTACGTGGCCGACCGCCTACTCGTCGAGCTCGGCGTTCCGAAGGTTAGCTACCATTAAGACATGCATTTGGGGATCAATTGAATTGATTTTGAGATTAATTTTTTGATTTACCAATTGATTGGTTTTGAATGAGTTTTTAATTGATATTTTGTTTGTGTTTTGACAGTACTATAAGTCTCAGAATCCCTTCGACTTCATGGAACAGATCTCACTCGAAGGTAAGACCAACTTCTTCGAGAAACGCGTCGGTGAGTACCAGAAGTCGGGAGTCATGAACACCGATGAGGCCAACCATAAGTTCATAGTCGACGCCGAGTTCTGATCGCCAAACCACTGACCACTTCCCACCACAACTCACTTCACCATTACATGCAGTCATAAACTAAACACACCATTCATTTCGTGGTTTTTGAAATGATTTAATTGTATAAAAATTTGTCTTCAAATCAAAAATATGTGGTTTTGATGTGATTTTTAAGTTTTTAAAATTTGTTTTAATTCCCAGATTTTTTCTGTTAATTTATTCCGTGCTTTAGTTTAATGTTATGATTTTCAGTCGACTTTTGTTGAGAACAAACGTAAAAATACTTATTTTCCAATCAATTTGTTTTTAAAACGATTACAAGTTTTTGTCGATTTTTAAATTAGATTTGAAGACAAATATCTATTTTATTATTATTGCCGTATAATCGGTATTTAATTTAATTTTTGGCTTATTTAAAAGTTTTGTTTAACTATTCATTTTAATCATAAAAATATGAATATTTTTAAACACAAAAACCGTATGTACGCCAAAACAGGTACAGTATAAAAGACTGATATTTAATGTGTTTTTTAATCTCTTTGTCAATCTCTGAGTCTTTAATCGATTTTTATATATATTTTAAATACGATGAATACAAATAAAATTTGATAAACCATAAAAAATGTTGTTTTAATTAATTATTAATCCTCTTATAATCGCATTTACAATACTGTAACTACGGATACCCTAATCCATTGAATCGCTAATCTGTGTATTGATTCAATACTATTGAATGAAACTGATGCAAAGTCTGGAAAATGTTGTTTGTGTCACAGAATCTGTTTACTGTACTTATCAGACAATTGATTTTGTATTTGCAAAAAGTGTATAAACTTTGAGTTACATAAACAAAAAACATTGATAACAACCCCTTAACCGCGGTATTTGTTTTTGATAAACAAGTTATAAAGTATTCACATGTTTTCTATAGATTATATTTTTTATGAGAATTTAGTTATATTCTCAAATAATCTGTAAATACATTTAATAATAATTTTGTCACAAAGTCATGGAAACTCGCATTTGAAGGCAATACTCCAGTATACTATACAATATTGTCAATACTACCGGTAATTATTTATATAAAATTTATATTTAATACCCAGAGATAATTTTATGTGCTTTTTATGGGACTACAGTATTGTATAACATTAAATAAATACAATAATAAACGATAAAATGTTATATTTATTCAGTATTAAGACATAAATTATAAGCAATTTTATGATTGCATTCATTCAGCCAATAGTCTCATAAAACGACAACAACTATAATACACAACCAGAATATGAGACTAAATACATAAAACATTTCATGGAAATTATGGTAGAATTTCTTTGGTTTTACATGTATTTGGCCTAAAATTACGTTACATTCATATGCATTGAAAATCCCACATGAGATTAAGGGTAGAAAAAACTTTGCTGACTACTTTAGTCTACTTATATTTCAAAAATACAAATTTACTTATAAGTTATAGTAATAAAGTGCATTTTAATCGTGTTTGTCAAATATTGATGTCAAGAATCTTCAAAAAGGTTTTTCACAAAAAACACTAAAACTATGATAATAAGTGAAGTGTACCGTACAGTATAGCTATGCCTACCACCGGTGTACCATTGGGTGCCATCTGTACGGCACCGACACATGAGATTCTTGAGCAGTGCATCAGATTCTGGAGATAAGCGTAGAGATAATGGATGAGAGCGCGAGTCTATACCAGAATAGGCCACACCTACCCGTGCTTTGCTCTAATAAAAGTGTTTGCATTTGCCATAACAACTGCCATACATTTATACGCAATACTTCGCCCCAGAAAAACATACCTTTCCCTTCGAAAAGCCAGAGACACTACACTAACAATTACATACAACTACTGGAGTGAGTGTGCGGTGCGCCGAAAGTCTTATTGAATGCATATCTAATTAACAGGTGAATAGTGTACACATCTAATTGACAAAGGAGTGGAAAATTGCATAACTTTTGCACAATTATATTGTTTTGTATGAATCGGTAATTATATGTCTGTTTGAATGGAAATCTCATTTCACGTGTACTGCGAGTGATTGAAACAAACTCTCTTCAAAGTGTGTACAGCAGTGGGGATGCAGTGAATCCACACAAACGCATAGCACTACTCGCTGTGGAAAGCCTTGGGAAAGGGATGGGATGTGCGAAGTGAGTGGTGAATGACTACAGACTCAAGAGTTTCTCATTTGGATTTGAAAATCCAAAAGCAATACACAATATATAGCCACAGATAGAGAGACACACAGAGAAGTGCTGTGTGTATAAGGAATTGGTTTTTTGTTTTTCTATGTAAATGTGTATATATTTTGTAAATTTATGTGAAAAAATGCATTTATAATTTAAATTTTCGAAACACACAGTTATTTTACATCTATAGAGATAATATTATCCAGCATATTACGAAATATTTGCGCCAGAATATTATTTGAGAGAAATAACAGTTAATTTTCTATGAATATGTTTGATAAGCAAATTCAGTGCTACAAAACACAACCTCTTTATATATCACTGAATTTGTTATGAATACTAATGAATGATAGAAACATCATATTTGCCGACAATTCATACAATCATCTGAACATCAATTTCTAGTGAGTATTCATTTCATTTTCATGAATATCTTATTGTACAGTGTATTGTCTATAATGTATTACAATTTGATGGGTAACTGACCCGTGAATATCGCCATAAATACGATATAAACTCGGATTAAATGTTGAGAGAAATTGTAGCAAAATTGATGTGAAATTTTTGGACTCATTTTGGAGTTCATTATTCACGTGAATTAGGATTTTCAGGGAAAATTTCTCGACAATTAATTTATTACATAATTCAATGAATTATTGTAGTTCAATTAGCCCCTGGTCTATTTACTGGTCCACTTATTTCACGTATTTAGTCGCCATGAAAATCAATTATATTAATTGATAGCAACATAACTAAATATCAGTGGTAATTCATATATTGAAGTGAACTTTAAACCACTTAATATTTTTCACTCTCTTATCAATTACACAATTGTATGTGTGATTATAATTACTGTATTGTTTGTTTGTACAAAAAATATTTTCTATTTTATTCACCAATATATCACATTCAGGACTTAGAAATCATGTAAATTAGAGACCAAACCAGTTGCACGAGTATTACATAAAATAAGAAAATATTGTTCATAAATTTAATTTTAATGCCAATTAATTCACTATCATATTTGTCTAAATATTTGGTCTTATATGTACCTGTATCAATTTATATCATATGGTAAGGCATGTGAATCATTACATTTAGATTAGGTCTTGAATTTCATTTCGAAAATCTGTTTTTGTTATTTTTAATGCAAATATATAGATTTTTTTCCGTGTAATTAAAATACATTTTATATTCATAGATGCAAAAAGCAATTAATTTTTTGTCTATCAATTCATTTCCAAAGTTTAATATACTTTTAACTAAAATATGCTAAAATAGATATCGCGAAAGATCTTCGTTATTGAAATTTAATGGAAATGTTTGCCAAAAATGAAAAACTAATCTATAGTTTAGATAAAAGAGGAATTTTTTGGTGCAAAAAATATATTAAGACAAATGTTTAGAGATTTTTGCGACACAAGTGTGCGTTTGAAAGACACTTTGAAGCATTTATTTTTAAATCTTGAAAAATTGAAAATTTTATTTTCTAAACCTCTCTCTCTCTCTCTCTCTCTCTCTCTCCTTCTGGTTTGTGACACAAGGTTTCACTTAAATTGGTTTTTGTGTTTCACAAACAAAACACACAAATAACTGGTAAATAAATAACTCAAAAACTCAAATAAAAAGTAATATTTCTTTTAATTAATTCTTAGCGGAGAGAGAGAGAGACCCCAGAGATAGTCAAAAGTATGAGACAATTGCCTTGAATTTTGATTAAAACATAGAAATATTGTAGTTTTAGGGCAAACACTTGGAAACGAGTGCTTATAAACAACAGTATAATTCAATTAATTATTTATTTTTCTGATGAAAAGATTGTTTTGATGTATGTCTCAAATGAGGCCAACGGTTGCGAGAGAGAGAGAGAGAGAGAGAGAGAGAGAGAGAGCTAATGAAAAATAGCATTACATTAAGCAAACCTTCCCATCATATCATATGCTAATTGTTTTGCATTAACTATAATTATATGCAATCCTTTTTTGTGAATAATTATTTCAAACAATATATTTATTTAACAATGTAGTTCCGACTTAATACTACTCTCGAAACCATTTATTTATTTATTTTAAAACGCAAATATAGTTTGTATACTCATTTTTCAGTATAAAGTAATTTTATTTATTTTTATAGCACTTTTATTTTTGTTTTGGTTGCTATATCTGTAGATTGCATTGAAAATCTGAAAGTTAAGCAAAAATGTAAAAAATATTTTTAATGATTAATTTGCACGATGCAAATTATATATACGTATTGATGACTTAATCAGAAATATTTTACCCATTTTTGTATAAAATATGTGAATTACGTTACACTCAATTAGATTGTCTTTGTCAAAAATATTGAGCTAATGAATGAAAAAATTTTCAATACTTCACTGAATATTTAGTGTATTAAATGTCAAAATTTATAAAACATTTTAAATAATTTATTAAAATATGTTATATTACACTTTAAAGAAATTTGCCCTAATACATAATGACTTATTCCCTTATACAGTACACAGGGATTACATTAAAAAATTGCTAAAAAGTAGATTAACTTTAAATACAATTCCTTTTACAGACAATACATATTTAAATTGTAAACGGAAAACATTTGAAAAAACTCTCTGAATTCAAATTAATATAATAATTTATGTCATAAAATAAATTCAAAAAATTAGTTTTCACTGAAAAAAATCGCAAAATTCCAATCCATTGAATACACAATGAAAAAGCTATTATTAAATAATAAATAGTGTGTTATATTGTGACATGAAAAGTGTATTTTCATGTGTTTCCCATTCAACTGATGGCTTACATTCAAAATTGTCATACATTTCTTTTTTCATATGTGTATTCAAAACGTGTTTTTATTATAGCGACATGTGATATGTTTTTGTTGGACTGAATAACAGAATATGAAATATTAATAACAAAATAAAAATATCATAATAACATAAATAAAAAGGCCTTTGAATACAATACCGGAGTGTATATAACGTAAAATTAATGGGTATTAAAATTCTTTTCAAAAACACTGTACTTGTGATTAGTTG